ATACTTAACCTCAAAAACTATTTCGAGGATAAAATTTAGGTAAGCATATGAAGTGCTTATTAACATAGTCTTCAGCATGTATTAGTATCTCCAAATGTTAACTGCTGTTACTTTTAAAATAATTAAATAGCTGTATTGGCCAGAGTTACATTAGGAGTGAGCCCAATATTGTTCACCAATATCTTTCAGCTGGATTGGAGCACTAGCTTTGTGTATGGTAATCATTTGCAGGGTGGTTTATAAAGTATTGGAACTTGTGAATGACTTGGTCTTTTACTGAATGGGAGCAGATTTTACTAGGAATTGCACAATACCCAGTCAGCCAATATCCCTGTAATGTGCATCCAGTAGAAAAGGATTAACAATCTTATACATAACACAAGTATTTTTTGTAAAGGAATAAGAAAAGAAAGAAAAAGAAGAATTATTACATATTACTATATATAAAAACAATCCCAGGAATATGAAGTTACATACAAAAATCAAATAATTTAAAAACAGTAGTAAAATGACTAATGTGTCAGCTTTTGTCCAGGATAATCATTTTTCATGATTAAAATCTTTTAGTGGTAGGTATTGGTGTTTATTTGGCAAAGAGAAGAAACCGTGTTTTTTGAAAATTATTTATTAGGTGGAGGTTACTACATTTTTGCTCTTGCATATGTGTACATATTCAGAGAAACATTATGTCTGTTTTCCTGGAATTCTGTCTATGAAGATGACATGTACTAAACATAGACAAATATTTATAATTGTGCTAAGAAAAAGTTGGCAACGGGAAATCACAAACATGGAAACTTTATCAGCATTGTTCATAATTTTTACTTGCAAAACTCCACAGATGAAAATCAAATCATTTAAAAAATAGTAGTAAACTCACTAATGTGTCAGCTTTTGTCCAGGATAATCATTTTTCATGATTAAAATCTGTGTCAAATTAGATAACCTTGATAAATTGCTAGTGACACAAATTGACAACATCCTTCTGAAGGATAAATTAGCCATTTATATATAAGATTAAACATGCATAATGTTTTCTTCAGTAATCACAGTTCTGGTAATTTCAGGAGTTGGCTCAAAAGTAAAAAGTAAAAGGCTTGAATATTTATAACAAAAATACAGTGTTTGATTTCAGTTTTAAAATAATGCTTGTCCTCTCTTTCAGGTCTTTTTACCTGGCTTTTTGTCCAGCAATCTTTATTATAAATATTTAAATGATCTTATACATTCTGTTCGAGGAGATGAATTTCTGGGAGGGAGTGTTCCACTGACTGCTCTTGGCGCTGTTGGCCCTTCTGATGACTCTCACCCAGGTGGTTCTGAGAGCTCAGCTTCTCAGGTATTGACTGGTTTTGCGTCTACATTAGGAAGAGAAATGTACAGTTACTTTCCTTTAAATTCTAATCACAGACCTTGTTTGTAAGTCTAATGTCTTAGAAATGGTAGAGCCCAGTGAAATAACTCAAAAGGAAAAAGATAGATATTAGATGGTTTCACTTATAAGTGTAATATAGAGAAATTGAACAAAGTTGAAAAAAATTTGCAAGCTGCCTGTAGATGTGAGGCATACAACAGGGGAGAGAGAGGGAAGAGTTAAAAACAGGGAAGGGAAGAGCACAAGGAACTATGGTGATGGATCATGGGTGCTGTGCTAGTGGGAGAACTGAGGGGAGAAATCAGATACTATCTAAAAATTAATAATGATATAAAAAAATAAATGCATTTAATTTTAAAAATGGTAGAATTAGAACTATCTTATGTTCTTCACTGTAAGTTTAATAATACAGCATATAACTTTTTGGTCACTTTTGAGACTACAACTTAGGTAAATTTTAATTCCATCAGAAAGACTCACCACAGTATCTTTTCTTACTATTTGGTTTACATACCTGCTGAATGTGGTTGCCATTTTGTGTTTTGATACAGCCTGGAATGTCTTAAAAGGTTTAGGTATTAATCTTCAAATCTATTTTTGCATTTCTGGTTGTAGTATAACATTTTATATATCTATATATACACAGAAAATTTTACATATTATAACTATATGCAGCTTGAGGAATTATCAATTACAGACCTAATCCATGTAACCGCATTCAAATCAAGAAACAGAACACTTACCAGTATAACAAGCAGTCTTTGTTTCCCATTCTAGTCACTTCCCTCCTTCCCACAGGGTAGTCATTATCTTGACTTTGGATGCGTGGATTAGCATTACCTGTACTTATTTTATAAGTAAATTCATACTATAAAAGATTGTTTATCCTTTTTCTTTTTTTGCATTGAGCTATAATTTACATACCATGTACTTCATTCATTTGCAATTCACAAGTCACTCTTTTTTAGTATATTTTCAGTTGTTTAATTGCACCAATGTCAATTTTAGCATATTTTTTCACCCAAAAAAGATACCCTATATCCTTTAACCATCACATTTCAAATCCTCCATTTCTCCAGTCCTAGGCTACTGCTAATATGTTTTCTACCACTTTAGATTTGACTATTTGACATTTCATATAACTGGAACCTTATTTGTGGTCTTTGGTGGCTAGCTTCTTTTACCTAGCATAATGTTGTCCAGGTTTATCCATTTTAAGTGTGTGTCAGAACTTGTATCCTTTTTAGGCCGAACATTCTGGATAGACATATAGCATTAATTGCTATTGTATGACTTTTTAAAAAATTTATTTATGCATACAGAACTGGGATGTAGACTATAGGTGCAGAGGGTGAGAAGATTCACTGGAGAGAGAGTGGGGAGCAGAACAGGCAGATGTACTGAACTACACTGCTGAGGCGAGCAGCGGGTGGGTCAGGAGAGGTCTTCTGCACCATGTGGATCAGCTCCCTGGCCAGGATCAAACTCCAGCAGCACTGGCTGCTGATAGCTTCATAGTGCTGTGCTTTAACCAGTTGCGCCACCAGGGAGGGCTCGTTTCTGTACAGCTTTTTGTGTGGATATGTTTTTGTTTTGCTTCTCCTGTTTATACTTACTAAAATTGCTTTGTCGAGTGATAACTCTGTATTGATTATTGCTGCTTTGGATAAGTTTCAGAATCAGTAAATGGAAGTGCTCCCAACTTAGTTGTTTTCAGAATGGTTTTGACTTTTGAGATTCCTTGAATTTACATATGAATTTTAAAATAAACTTGTCAGTCCCATGAAGAAGCCAACTAGATTCTGATGCGGGTTGTGTTGACTCCATAGATTAATTTGGGGAGTATTGCCATCTTCACAGGATTAAATCTCTGATCCATAAACTGGATTATCTTTCCATTTATTCAAATCTTTCATTTCCTTTGCCATTTTGCAATTTCCAAATATGTTTTACATTGATACCTTTCTAAATATTTTATTTTTGATACTCTTATAAATGGAATTGTTTCCTTATTTTCATATTCAAATTGTTTATTACAAATGTATGAAAATACAACTGATTTTTTTATCAAAGTAAATAAAGTTGATTTAACATAAACTTAACAACTTTAAGTAAAGTGCAAAGCTCAGTAACATTTAGTGTTGTGCAACCATTGCCATTCTCTGGTTTCAGATTATTTTCTTAACAACACTCACACTTGCCCACTAGCAGCTTTCCCCATGCTCACCTGTTTTCTTCTAAGAGTAATAAGCCTTTAATCCATCTTGAGTTAGTTTTAAATATTATGTGAGTTGGGGTCCACCTTTACTCTTTGCATGTAGTTATTTTTCCAAAATCTTTTTTTTTTAAAGATTTATTTATTTATTCATACAGAACTGGGGTACAGGCCAGAGATGTGGAGGGTGAGAGGATTCACCAGAGATAGAGTGGGGTACAGAACAGGCAGATTGACGAAGTACACTGCTGAGGGGAACAGCGGGTGGGTCAGGGGAGGTCTGCCTCGCCATGTGGTCTCCTCCGGGGCAGGCGGGGATCGAACTCATGTGGAAGTGGCTTAAGCTTCTTTGTGCTGTGCTTTAACCTGCTGTGCCACCAGGGAGGGCCCCAAAACTTTTTATTGAAAAAATTATTCTTACATCACGAAGTGGTCTTAGTACCCTTACTGAAGTTATCTGATCATAGCTATATGGGACTCTCAGTTCTACTCCATCAGTGTATATGTAATCTTTTCTTATGCTAGTAGTACATTGTTTTGGACACTATAGCTGTATAATAAGTTGAAATCATCTGACTGTCATTTGCAAGATTGTTTTGGCTATTCTGGGCTTCTTGCAATTCCTTATGAATTTTAAGATCAGCTCTTGCATTTCCATCAGAATTACATTTAATTTATAGATTGCTTTCAGGAGTTTTGTCATCTTAACAATAATATTGATAAGTTGTCCAGCTCGTGAACATAGTATTTTCATATATACTTTCCATTTGTCATAGACATGCACATTGTACATTCCCAATATGCTTTTCATTTTTTTAGCCTGCCTTTAATTTCTTCCAGTGGTCTTTTCTAGTTTCTGTTTTTAAAAAGTGTATACTTACTTCCTTGGGTCAGTGTATTCCTAAGTATTTTATTCTAGATACTTTTATAAATAGAGTTGTTTTATTAATTTTATTTTCCAGTTCATTGATAATGCATAAAATATAACTGTTGTTTGTATATTGATCTTGTATCTTCGCCTTAACAAATTTGTTAGGTCTTTGGATACTTTAGGATTTACTGTATGTAAAATTGTTACTATAATTAGAAAATAATTTTCTTCTTGTCTACTTTAAATATTTTTTCCCCTCACTTTATTACTTTGAGGACTTCTAATACAGTGTTGAATAGAAATGATGAAAGTGTCTTGTGCTCAATCTCATAGGGAAAACTTTTTTCATTATTTAGTATGACTTTAAATGTGTATTTTTCATAATTGTTCTTTATCAAGTTGAGGAAGTTCCTTATTGCTCCTTTTTCTTTTTTGAAAAATTGTTTCATTTTGTCACATGCTCTTTTTGTATCAATTGAGATGACTAGATTTGGGGTTTTACTCTGTTGATAAGGTATACATAGCAAATTGCCATATGTTAAACCACCTTTGATTTCCTGGGATAAATGTTGCTAGATTGCCTTGCTAGTATGATCTTTATATTCTGGTGCTTTTTTCTTCTTAATTATGTTCACTTCTCAGCACGTAAAGGGACCCCTTTTTCCCTTCCACAATTAAGTGTTCTGTGTCTTTTAAGTTTCTATATAGGAACTTGCTATCCTTATCTAACTGATTGTTGTAGTAAGTTTCCTTTTGCTATACTTTTGTAGCATGGCCTCACTGAGAATCAGAAACATTCGTGGTATCCTATAATTACTAGCCTAATTACATATGCTTGGTAGATGGGAGTTTTATACACTTAAATCATTGAGAAAACAAAAAGATTTGGCAGGAAAATACACCCATCAGACATTTTAATATTATGCTTTCCTTCTGTATGTATAGCTTGATATGACATTTTACTTTTGTATTTTGAGGTTAAATCATTGCTGTTAAGCATCTCAATAATAATGAATCAGTGAAAATTATATGTATTTTAAACAATGAAGACTTTATACAAATCTGTCATATTCCAAGCTGATATGATTTTTAAACAGTTTAACTACTAATTTTATAATTTCTTTTGTAGTCCAGTGTAAAAAAAGCCAGTGTTAAAATTCTGAAAAATTTTGATGAAGCTATAATTGTGGATGCTGCTAGTCTGGATCCAGAATCTTTGTATCAACGGACATATGCAGGGTAAGCTTGGCTCATGTGTAGAATGTTTACAGCTCTACTAACTTTTCTATCTTTGATTTAAAACTATAATCTATTAGTAAATACTCAGTACTTTTGCATGGAGTATGCTGTAGTGTATGGAAGCTTGGGAGTGACTTCCTGAGTGTTAATTTTGACTTAGCCACTTACTGACAAACTACTTAATCTCTTTGTGTCTCATTTTTTTCACCTATAAAATGAGAATACTATTACTACTTCATTGGGTTGTTGAGTAGATTAAATAAGATAAAACATGAAAAGTGTTTAAAACATGCTTAAGATTTAGCAAACCCTCATAAATATTATTCCACTACCATATTTGAGATTGAGGAATATCATGTTTGTACAGTGTGTTTTAGGCTATTTTTTTGCCCTTTTCATTTGATTCATGCTATTTTAAAATGTTTGTTTTGTTTTTTATTGTTTTTCCAAAATGTCTTAAAAGTATAAATAAGAAGACACCAACATCATTTATTTATTTATTATGGACTATATAACTAGCACTTGGAAATGGAATAAAATTATTCCTTTGTATTTAAGCATTCACCTGATTTATTTTAGCCTGTAAGACAGTAATACATAATATATGCCAGTTACTATACTTTGTCAGATCAAATAATAAAAATCACTTTCTCTTCCCTAAATATGACTTGATTAGCACATAAGCCTACACAGGGACTTGATTATCCTATGCTACTCCTGCCCCCAGTCACACAGTACCACAGAAAGGGGCTTTCAACATAACTAATTGCTTTTATCAGAAAGTAGCAGGATCCTTGAGAAGCAAGGATCTGGAAAGTACTCTTTGTAAATAAAGACCACATTGTCTTTGGAAAGTACAGTTGATCTGTGTCAGCATTGTAGTCATCTTTATTTTTTCTTTAAGGAAATGATGGACAATGAATCTAAATTAGTTAATTCCCAGTGATGATATTTATTAAGGAATGACGGGGTCATTTATTTAAGACCTTCCTTCAGAAAGTCTTATCATTGCATGGTGTTTCCTTTGGTAGTTTTTGTGTCTATGTAAAATATATTTAAGAAAATAATTATTAAAGGTTGAGAGAGGACTCTCCCTGGTGGCACAAGGGGTTAAAGTAGCACTATGAAGCTAGTTATAGCCAGTGCACCAAAAATTCCATCCCTGGCCAGGGAGGTGACCCATATGGCATCAGGACCTCTCTTGACCCACCCATCTGCTGCTCCCGTCAGTGTATTTAGTACATCTGCCTGTTCTGCTCCCCATTGTCTCTGCTGAATCTTCTCACACCACCACCCCCACACACCTCTGACCTCTATCGCCAGCTCTTGTATGCATGAATAAAAAAAAAAAAAGATTGAGGCCCTCCCTGGTGCGCAGCACTAAGAAACTAAAGCCACTTCCTTATGAGTTTGATTCCCGCCTGCCCCGGAGGCGACCACATGGCGAGGCAGACCTCTCCTGACCCACCCGCTGCTCCCCTCAGCAGTGTACTTCGTAGATCTGCCTGTTCTGCTCCCCGCTCTGTCTCTGGTGACTCCTCTCACCCTCTGCATTTCTGGCCTGTACCCCAGTTCTGTACGAATAAATAATAAATAAAATTTAAAAAAAAAAAAGATTGAGAAAGAGAGAAATAATATTTCCATCTTTAAAGATAATTTGTAGTGTTTATTTTAGTTTTATGTTTAGTATCTTCCTGAAATTTTTCTCAAGGCAAACAAATTTATATATGTTGGTGTATTGGTACCCACATATGAAACAATGACTTAATAGAAAGAATATCTCTAAAATAAAATCCATTTTGCCTGCAATGAAATAATTTATGAGCATTAGATTTACAGATAGGCCTATGTTCCCTTTGGTTACACATAATCCTTATTTTCTTCCCTTAATGTTCATTATTATGGTATATACTTTTCCTTATTTTTATGTAACTGATATTAAACTCTACTCTGTATCTTGTGCTTTCATTCATTGTTAGTTTGGGAGATTTTTCTATATTACTTTATACAGATTTACCTCATTTTAACTATGCTATGTAGTTTTCCAGGTGTAATAATTATAATTGTGGCAAATATTCTATAGTATATTGTCCCACTATTTAGGCTATTTTGGTATTGATGAGTATTTAAGTTATTTGCAGTTTTCCTCAATTATGTAGTATAGCAAAGAATTCCTTGTAGTAAGTAGCTAATTTAAAATTTTAATAGACCTAATCAATTTACCTAACATCTGTTCAAAATAAGATCTTTCACTGTGTTCTTACTTTATATTAACTACAGCTTTACATTACATTTTGATGATTGTGACAGCAAGAGCTACCTTTTTGTTTTGTAGAAAAAGGGAGCTTTTTTTGCGTTTTGCTATGAATTTTTACTCATTTCATATACTTTTGGATTTTGAGTGGAATGGCATTGAATTGAGAATCTTGCTTTCTGTGGAGGACGGTTCTGTTTAAAATAAACACAAATTTTAATAACATGAGTTAATTATATATTCCTATCTTTCTAAACTTTGATGAGATGCTTAAAAGCTGATTTTCTTAAGACCTACTTAGCTGTGAGAATAACCATTATTTCAAAATTTATTTTCTTCTTAACTTAAAATGGATTGTTAGAAATTATCTTACTCTTTTCACACTTACTTAGGAAGATGACATTTGGAAGAGTCAGTGATCTGGGGCAGTTCATCCGAGAATCTGAGCCTGAACCTGATGTAAAGAAATCAAAAGGTTTGTGGTGTTGTTTCTATACTTTGTACTCATGTTAGTCATTGACTATAGTGAAGCATCTTTTAAGATTTGAACTGTTTATGTTATGAAATGAACACCATATCTTACTCCTTATATGCAAGTTAAATACTTTGTTACAAAGATAATTAGTTTTTATTAATGGTACTATTCCTTAATGTTTTTGGTGCACTGTGTCAAAAAATTAAGAATATCCATGTCTGGAAGTAACTGTTAAGTAAGAGTAATTTAAAATGTAATGTTATACATGAAACTTGTAACATTTTTTAAATTTGTTTTCTAGGATCCATGTTCTCACAAGCTATGAAAAAATGGGTACAAGGAAATACTGATGAGGTAAATTTTGCTTTTTAGTGTAAAGAAACTTCTGTTTTATGAGTAACAAACTCAGATATCCTTTAGTTCCCATGTTTAGCCACATGGCACATCACTGCTTGTTTATCCAGGCTGTAACAAGGAAGGGCAGGCTCTTCTTAGCATCTCTTGATTGCCTGGTGGAAGAAGTGGACCTGTCTTAAGTTTAGATACTTTGCCCACTAAAAGACAACCATACATTCAAGTTTGCATTAACCTGCAGGCATCACTCAGTGTAGAAACAAATATTCAGATGTTTCCTTCCATACTGTCAGTTTTACTTTTAGAAATGAAGGCTTGCTTTTTGAATAGTTGAGTACATTGAGAGGAAGGAGTGGTAAAAGAAAAATGTTTTGACCATCTAACATAAAAATAGTCTTGATGTTGGGTGCCCCGTAGCTGACTTTGGAAGATAGTGTAATAACCAGAGGGTGCCTGAGGTTCTTTCATACACAGAACTGTACTTTGTAGACAAATAAATAGAAATAATATGCATGATCCAGTTATGCTTAGAACACTGACAAGGAATTCCTTGATTCTCCTATGAATAACCCAACATCTTTTATTATTACTTTTTAGGCACAAGAAGAGCTAGCTTGGAAGATTGCTAAAATGATAGTCAGTGATGTAATGCAACAGGCACAATATGACCAGCCATTAGAGAAGTCTACAAAGGTAGGGATGACTTGCATTCTGATTCACTCATGTAAACTGAAAAGAATGAGATTTTAAAAAAAAATTTTTTTTTAAAAAGACACCATTTGTTTTTGTTTTTGAAGGATTAATTGCTGTGGGAATTACTTATAAACATGTAGGAAATTGACAGACTAAATGAGACAACTATTTCTAGATACTTGACAGCAGATTAGGATGATCACAAAAGATTGTGTTCCTTCAAAGAAGGGTAACTTTGAAGTGATCTTTAACTAATTGTGCGGAGTATTTTCCATAGTGCAAGTAGGGGAAAAACCTAACACAGTATAGTAGTCTTCCTGAACTGAGGAGTCACAATCAAAGCATAGGAGAGCCTAAAGTGGTAGAAGTTATAAACAGGATTCTATAGCCTAGTAATATTTAGCAAGGCCTCTTCCAGTCTGCATAAGAGAGAACTGCTCTGTAGATATGTGTGGTGAAAATTCTCATGGCCAGGGAAAGAACTACTAGAATTATTAGACCAAACATTCCTACGGACCAATAAGGACAGACCTGCTAATACACAAGGCATTGGGTAGTAGTGTCTTTAAACCTTATGCCTTATTACTGGAGCTATATTAACCCTAAGGTAAAGCACCTCAAAGAAGCTTAAAAGCAAGTTTGGAACGGATCAAACTACTCTGCAACATACCAAAACAAAGACCAACCCTCTTTAAAGAAATACAGCAAAATTCATTGCTCAGCAGTGTGAAAGTACAATGTCTGACATCCAGTTTGAAATTGCCAGGCATTCAAGGAAGCAGGAAAATCTTCATATGTAATCAGAAGAAAACATTGTCTATAGAAACCAAACTCTAAAAAATAATGAAACCAAAAGAACACAAGAAAAAGAGGGGGAAGGAAGAAAGACTCAATGGGTTAAATAGAAGACACATAGCAGGATGGTATATTTAAGGCCAATTGTATTAATAATTATGCTACATGTAAATGATCTAAAGAGTTTAAACAAATTGTCACATTGGGTAATACAGTCTATTGGTAGGGTGTTTATAAGAAACCAGCTATAAAGACACAAGTTGAAAGCAAAATGATGGAAAAAGATAAGCGGCACACTATCGATAGTAAGCCACAATGGCTATATTACTACAGTGTAATTTTAAAACAAGACATATTACCAAGTACAAAGGACATTGCATGTGAAAAAAAAAAAATAACTTCATTAAGAAGACATTTAAGAATCCTATATGGTGCTCTCCCTGGTGGTGCAACGGGTTAAGGCGCCACATTATGAAACTCTCCGAAGCCACTGCAGCACCAGTTCAATCCCCCGCCAGAGAGCTGACCCACATAGTGTGGCAGACTTCTCCTGGCCCACCCACTGCTTCCACTGCAGTGTATTTCACTACATCTGCCTGTTCTGCTCTCCACTCTGTCTCTGGTGAATCTTCTCACCCACCACACCTCTGGCCTGTACCCCAGTTCTGTAAGCATAAATAAATAAATCTTTTAAAAAAAATAAAGAATCCTACATGTATATGCATCTCATAACAGGGCTTAAAAATAAATACAGCAGGCCCTCCCTGGTGGCGCAGCGGGTTAAAGCACTGCACTAAGAAACTAAAGCCACTTCCGCAAGAGTTCGATCCCCGCCTGCCCCGGAGGCGACCACTTGGCGAGGCAGACCTCTCCTGACCCGCCCGCTGCTCCCCTCAGCAGTGTACTTCGTCCATCTGCCTGTTCTGCTCCCCGCTCTGTCTCTGGTGAATCCTCTCACCCTCCGCATCTCTGGCCTGTACCCCAGTTCTGTACGAATAAATAAATAAATAAATCTTTAAATAAATAAATAAATAAATAAATACAGCAGACACCTTACCCAAATGGGAAAGAATAGTTGCATATCATACATCTGACAAGAAACTAATGCAAGATCTACAAAGAACTCTTACAGCACAAAACAACCCACTCAAAAATGAACAGAAGAACTAAATAGATATCTGTTCAAAGAAGACACACAGAGAGCCAATTGGCATATGAAATAATGTTTATCATCTCTTATTAGGACAATGTAAATCAAACTCCCAGTGAGCTACTTTCTCACACCAGTGAGAATGACCCACATTAAAAAGATTAGAAACAACAGGTATCTGTGGCAAGTGTGTAAAGGAAAAAGAACCATCATACACTATTTGTGGGAAAATAGACTGGTCTAGCCCCTGTAGAAAATAGGTGGAGATTTCTCAAACTATTAGAAATTGATCCACCATGTTGATTGATCCAGCAATTCCACTCGTAGCTATCTACTCAATGAATGCAAAAACATTCTTTGAAATTGTTCATTGCAGCATTATTTATAATAACTGGGTCTTGTGACATTCTCAGTGCTCAACAACAGATGAGCAGATTATGAAGAAAGGCTATGTATATATACACAGTGGGATGCTGCAAATTACTGCCCCTTGTAACTACATATGCAAAATCCTTAACAAAATATATAAAAAGGATACTGCATCATGGCTAGTGCATGTCATCTCAGGAAAGTAAGGTTGCTTTAAGTACTTGAAAATCAGTTGCTGTAATTCACCAAAAGGGAAACGCATGTGATTGCAGAAAAAACTGATAGAATTCACAATCCCTGATGACAAATCTCAGGAAACTAGAAACAGAATTCCCTGAACTTAATAAAACCAACAGCTGAAGTCATATTTAATGAGGAAAGGCTGAATGCTTCCTCTAAATATGAAGAAGACATGCTGGTGCACCTAGCCTGTGAAAAAGAAGACATTTGAAGGACGAAGGATTAAGGGGTGGTTGTCTTTGCAGAAGACCCATTAATTATTTAGTTATGTAGCAAGTAATCAGATCTGAACAATACAAAATATGTCCATCATAAATGATTCTGGACATCATTAGTCATTAGGGAAACACAAATTAAAGTCATAATGATACACTCCTATTATGCAATATAATGGCCAAAATCAAAAAGACTTGATAGCACCATGTGTTAGCAAAAATGTATAGTAATTTGACCTCTGAATACACTGCTAGTGGCAAAACAAAAATGCTGTGGACACTTTGAGAAACAATTAGCAGTTTCTTGCAAAATTAAACATATACTAGCCAGTTATTTCTTGGGGGACTCTGCTAGCAGATTTTATTTTTGAGTTCTTTCTTGCACTGCTATGATTCCCCAGAGAAAAGTTTACTAGTCTTCTGCAAGGAGGATTAAGGCCAGGCTTCCTGTGTTCAAGAGACACATTGGGAAAAATTAGTCTCAGTATTCATTATATTTATCTCTCATTAATTAATCTCTCTTTTCAGGACATTATCTTTGATCTTGGTCATGCCTAGTGGATTTTAGCCCAGAGATGCTTTTGTCTTACTCTGCCCAGTGAAGAAATCTCAAATTTTGCTGATGGGGTTGGTTTTCAGGCAGAGGCTGTCACTTAATTGATCAGGAATGCGGAAAAATAACTGTAGATTTAACTGCTTCTAAAATAATCTTAAAGAGGCCCTCATGTTTACACCTATCCCTATTCTCATTACTAGAGTTCGTGTGCCACCAGTTTCCAGCCTTTTGAGTGTTTCTGCATTGTATCATTTAATAATCAGCTTCTTCCATGTTAGTCTTCAAACTGAGTGTTCCTGGGTATGGTATGCTAAGTCATTTATCACTCATCCATTTGCTTCCAGCTTAGGAAATTTTTTTCACATTTTTCCCAGCTGTAGTTGTTAGTAAAATTCTGACTTGCCACAAGCTAATACTGTTTTTCTGTTGCTTCACCAGCGCTGCTTTCTTTTTCCCACAAGAGCCACAAAAATAATCTTTAGAAAATTTAAGATAGCCATTTAGTTACATGTACCCTCACCCCATCTTTTCATCAAGGCAAACATTCCCTTCTCTTTAACCATCTCCAGCTTGAATTGATTCACAAGATTTAATAAGGTGCCTTCTTTGTGAAGGCATTAAACTGTTCTCTATCATTAACATTAAGTAAAAATTAGGAATCAAAATAAGTTCAGGTGACATTCTTTATTGTTGCATAGTCTGGAGGGCTTAGATTTAGATTTAGGTCTAGCATCACCCTTTCCCTGCAATTTTCTGGCCACTTTCTTACTCTTAAGAAATGTCACTACCAGACCTTGGTTTACTTTTGAAATTTTCAGTGAGCTGATTCATACCAAAGCTCTGTTCACTTTTGCCGACTCTATCCTCTTTTCTATGGGAAGGGTGACAATTTGCATCTATATTTATCTTCACCGGCTCAGTCAAACCTAAAATAGCAAGGAACAAAATAAAGGTGTATAAAGAAGTGCAAGGTACTTATTTTTGTGATTCCCCATTATCATGTTGATGATGAAAAATGTTTGACAATATGAAAATGTTTTTAGGAAACCATTTTGGAAAGCAGATGCTTAAAATTACAGATAGTCATTTGAGTTTTATGTCCAGGTTTTGTCACCATATATTTTTCATTTTCATTATGATTTCCTTATATCAATAGATATATTTTGTTTTTATGCTTTCTAGGCTTTCTCTTTGTCTGGCCAGGATGTTTATCTGTCCTTTTGGGATCAATAGCTTACTGCTATGGGAAAAGCACTAGAATAGCAGAACTAGTTTAGTCCATTTTTAGTCAATATATGTGACCCTTGCAAGTTAGTTACCATCGCCAGTCCCTTATTTTCTCATCACTAGAGAAATTGGACAAGAAAAGCTTATGATCTCCTCTAGTTCTCAATACGTGATTTTATGAATGTTAAAAGTCCTCTATGCGTAAAGAAATTCCTTTAGTTTATGTTGCTACCTCTACACACCAAACCTCCTGTTCTACATTTGCCTATAAAATAGACTTACCCATTTAGTCTGAATTACCTGACAGCATTACTGAATTGTTTCAGGTTCAGCACTCTGAGTAAAGGGGGATTCAGCCTCAAGAACTTGACTTTGGGAAGAAGATCAGAGCTCCTTTTTTATTTCTTGCTTAAGGCATTGGGGTATTCCATATTGTGACTCTGTCTGTCTTCATTTAATCAATCTCCTGTGTATGGTCATTTGGGTTATGTGGGGTTTTCCCTGTTAGAGAAATTTTAATGAATGTCTATGTAAATCTCTGCTTTTTCTTAAGAGTATGCTACAAGGTAAGCTCCTAGAAGGAGAATTAAACTATCAAAAAGGTAGATTTTCCCCCCTCTATATCATCCCAAACAGAAAAATAAAAATAGTTCTAAGCACCAGTCTTGTACAGACTTAGAGTGAGCTGATTGTACTCTTTAAGCTTCCTATCACTCATACTAATTTTAGCATTTTACCTCACACAATTGTAGTCAGAGTTCTGTTCTCATAAATGCTGGTATGTAGTATATACTGTGTGGTGGTTCTTTCTTCCTTAATTTGTAATGGTATTTTTTTTGTTTTTGGAATTTTCCTTTTTTTTTTTTTTTCTTTTTTTTTTCAGCTATGACTCAAGACCTGAGATAAAGAAAATCTGCTTTTGAAAAACAAGAGAACTTTTTTCGTTTGGTTGGATTCTTCAACACAGCCAATGAAAACAAAGCACTGTAATTCTTTTCACTGATATATCACTGTTGTTCCCAAGAAAGAATAGCAGACAATCCTAGACTTCCATCACAAGCAGAGTGACATGTAGACACAATTGCTACACATTATGTCCACGCCGTGAAAGTCATAAAGAGACAAAGTGGTATTGTTTACATTACTAGAATATTAATAGTTTTCCAATGGCAATAACCCATTTACAAGAGAGTCTAGTCCACTGGAACAGACAGGGACCACATACTGTGGGAGGCAGATAAGTGTCCAGCTGATATTTGATGCACATTCTGTAGTGGTAACCCATCCTTAACAGCATCATAAAGCGGGTGCCAGAGATGCTTTGCTTTGGCCTCCTAAAACAAACAGGTGAGTCTGCCCTTCTGAGAGGCCAGCAGCTCCTTGTGGCAGTGTGGTGCTAGCAGGTGCTAGTGTTGTTTTCCAGTGGGACAGGGTGAAGACTCATTGGGGCACTCTACCATCACAGTGGCATTAATGTTGAAGGACACTAACAGTCTTATGACACTGTCCTTCCCTCTGGTGATAGTACACAATTTTCACATTTTAATGGCTCCTGAGATGAAGTATACCTAAAACCAGTCTCCTGCTAACAAAAAGATGAATCTACTTTACTTTGAGCATTATTTGAGCTCCTGTGGAATTCTGCGCTCCAAATGACTTTAACTTTCCCTTCAGAAGACATGTGGAAAGGAATAAATGATAATGATCACTCCAGTTCTTCCCTGTGATACCTTGAACAAAATGTTCATTCCCAGATTTTACAATTTTTTTAAGAAGGTGCGGGGCAGGCAGGAGTTGGAGGGAGGGAAATTACTCAAATTTGCTTTTCATTTCTTTGCTGAGAGCTAGAAAGCGTGCAGTTGGTGGCCTTTTTTCTTCCTTTTTTTTCTGTCTTCAATACAATAGAGAGATTCTCTTACTGCACATCTGCTCAGTTGGCTTCTGGTTCTGAACCTCACAGCCCATCAGCAGGCTGCCTCATTGGCGAGCACACTCCTCTGACTAGGCGGTACCAATGAATGCTTCCTCCCTGCACATGACCGTTTGAGGGGAAAGAATGTTCTCTTAGGTGTTACTGCTTTTGCTCAGACTTTGCAAAAAATATATATATATAAATATATATAATCACCTCTGTCCTTGAGAAAGTCTTGAATGAATAGAGAATTTATTCCATTGCAATACCTGATTGTAAAGAGGCACACTGTTTCATCGACAGAAGCAAAAGGCTGTGTATAAGTTTTTGGTACTATGTACCATCTCTGTTATTCTTCTAAAGCAAAGTATTCGTGTACTTAAACCATATTCTATTTAATTGTGTTTGATTTTAAAATATATATATATATGAATTATATTTAAAATTGTGTCACCTTTCTGCTTTCAGGGCATTTTTGGCTCTTCTAATGAAGTGTGTTGGTTTTTCATATATTTCCATTGCTTTATAAAAACCCAGAACATGCTCCTTGTGCTTGGAGCATATGGCATAGACCTGAAGTTTTATTGGGTGTGTATGCTATGAGTAACTCATTTTGGGTTTTTTGACAAAATACTTCTATTCATTTTCACTTTGCTTTAATCTTTATCAGGCAAGCAATATTATGGTTATAGAATAAAATGTGGTTTTGGGTGACTCACTGCCTCTGCATGTTCTAGAGTAACAATTTTGAGTCTAGGCTGTTTAAACTAGTGCTTTCAGTTAAGATGACATCTAGTTATTTCTTTGTATACATTTTATGCCTCTGCGCTGGAGCTGTCAGTCTTGTGAGGTTCTTAAACAGGAATATAGCAAGCTTCAGACCTGATTACTTTTTTTTGCCCCTGATGCTATGGGATACAGAAGTAGAGTGTGACCTGAAATTATTAGCCAGATTTAATATTTAATGTACTCATTTTAAAATTGGAGTTAGATTCATCTGACATTGAGCACCTACTATGTTCCCAAGTGCTATACAGTGTGCCCAGAAAATGAGATTCATACACTGGGTTTTTATGGACTCAAGGAATTAATTTAGCCTCCATCTTTTTCATGTTGCTGACATTGCAAATTGTAAGAAAGAAGAGAGACGAGTGAGAAATTGGTGCCTTTTGTGTTTTGATGTGTCTTCATCATTTCTGTAAGATTTGATGCAAGTAAAAAGCAAGGGTTAAACAAATCTGTGAAGAGCAGTGAAATGGAGCAACTTTTCATAACTTTTCATCTTGGTTTTGAATATTCAGTTGATCTTTATGAAATGTAATAATCTACAATACTGGAGCTTTGACTAATTCAGTAGGAATTTAGAGGGGAAAGTCATTCTTAATTGTGAAAAATTATAACTTCCTTTCTGTTGTTATTAAGTATTGGTAGCAAAACACTTGATGAAGTGGATAACCTCTCTCTAATAACACTGGGGTACCTACCTGATTCAGTGATCCTGCTCTTACTGTGCTGCCTAGGTTTGTACATAGTGACCTTCTCCCTCTCCTCTTCCCATCCCTCACATACCAGTTGAATGGACCAGGATTGAACTCTTGATCCAGAATCAAGAGGATTCTTTTAATTTTACAGGGGAAAGGAATGTTAACTGTCACTCACTATCTGGGAGGGTGACTTGAATAGGACACTTAAAATATCAGGACCATGAGCATTGCATGGATAAGCAGGAGCTTTAGAAAAGGCTTTAAGAAATACATGAATGCAAGTGGATCTAACTAAGAATAGCTGCTTGGTAACCCTGAGGACTTGACTGGTTTATGGATCTGGTCCTGTGTCCTTGTGATGGACTCCATTAATTCTCCATTAATTCTGTGTCCTTGTGATGGACTCCATTAATTCTAAGGTGACCTTAGAATATATTTATTTGGCTTTTTAAAAATCATTCTAAAAGTATTTATAATAACAACCAAAAGATCCTTGGCTGAAATACTGTCATGTTGCTCTAATTACTAATTATCTGTGCTCAGCATGTTTGCCAACTACCACTTAAATTGTGGAGAATTAAAAATGTTGTTAAGTTTTATAGTCTCTTAAAATGGAATCCAAAACAAATAGAACTGAAAATACACTTCCTCATTACAGTAGTGAGAAGTTACTCAGGCCCAGAAAAAGGATGTCTTTGACCTGTTGTGGGGGTGGTTACCAATAGAAATGAGAACTCAGGCTTCTGGATGAGACCCTTTTCTAGCCTCCCAATGTCCTGAAGGATAAACACCGTCCCTGCTTACAGAAACTATAATAAATCCAAAATCTGAGGGCATTAAAAGAGTAGCTGATACAAGCTCAAGGTGGTAGAGGACAATAATTACTACACTTTGTAAATGCTGATCATGTTTATATACTGAATAAGGCCTCTCACCCTTGGCTGGAGCCATAAGTGGGAGTAAATCCTAGCAAACACTTAAAGGATAAGGATACAACTTAGGAAGGCCATGTTAATAGTTACCCTACAAGACACTACATACTAGTACTGTGGCTTCTCCAGCTTGGACAAGGTTAGGGATGACTAAGGTAGGATTATATTACTATATGGATTTAGACTTAGAAGAATTTGCCATAAGGACATTGGAGGGACCATTGTGTGGAAAGAACTAGAAGGCATTCATGTACAGGGAGGGAAAACCCCACCTCCTTGCCTATCACATAGTATCCCTTTGTAATTTTATGCAAACCATTTCCTTCAGACCATTTATTCGCACAGTCAGGATGTCAGAACTTGCCTAGAACAGTTAAGCCCCTTGCCTAATAATGGGCACCACCAAGGTCCCTGTAAAAACTACCTTAAGTAGCACTTGAAGGCACAGGCTGGGGTGACTGGGCTTTCTGGACCCATTCTGGTTAGTAGGCAAAGTGCTTAGAAAAGGGCATATGTTCAGCTTAAAGGGAGCTACGATTTGCCAAGGAACAAGTGAGAATTGTGACACTGCCATTTCCCCCATCTTCAGATATCTTTGTCCCTTGTCTTGAATGTACCTTCAGATACCTTTAAATAATACCAACCTGGCCTCTGCATACATCACAGTAGAGTCCCATATGCCATACAAAAAGGACTGTAGCTAAAAAAAGCACTTGGGCCACCAGATTAAGTGTACTCAACCAAAATCAGTGTACTCACCAAAAGTCCAAGGGACTCCACCTAGACCTTAAGTTTTCTCATCTCAGTGAAAAACAAACTTCCTCTTAATACCAGAAATACTGGTTTAGGAAGTATTCACCCATTCATAAGTATTTCAGTGCCTACTAAGTGCCAGGCATTGTTTAAGGTGCAGGAACACAAGAATGAATAAGGCAGCCTTCCATACCCCTTGAAGCTTCCATTCTACTGGTGAGGTGATTCGAGTTGAAGTTCCATCTAAAGTGTGTGCTGGTTATTTTGGGACTCCAGATGGCCTTTGAGCCCATGATTTAACACTTTTGCCAAGTTCTGTTGGGGATCATCAGGCTTGATGACCCAAAAGAATCCAATAGGGAGAGGTAGAACTTAAGAAGAAACACAGAAAGGAGATGCCCTTCTATGCCTTCTCACACTGACCGTCCATGAGCTTCTGCTTTCCATAGCCCCTTAAGGACCCATTACCATGCCATTCCTTTTTCTCATTGCAAGGGTAGGCACTCTCCATTGTTGAACATCTGGCTGACTGGGAATGGGTACCTTAATTTCTGCGGCAATCCAGGCAAATCTGAATAGGGCAAGGTTTGTAAATGACACAGGTCAGCCTCAGCCTTGGAGTTTTCTCTGTAGAACTTTGGGAGATGGGTGTTTTAGAAATCAGAAACAATACCAATGCACTGTTACTACATTTATGTGCTACAAGGTCCGTATCTTAAAAAACCTAACTATTAATTCCATGAGGTGATCCGCACCTTCTGAGGTCAACTTTAATAATAGGTAGCATAATTGAGTATTTACTATATGCCAGGCACTATCTTGTTTCATGCTTATTATATGTAGTCTCCTATGATAAATTTCTCTGGTTATAAATGAGAAGGATAAGGTTTATGAGGTAAAGGAATCTCTCCAAGGTCTCACAGGCAGGGGACAGATTCAGCCAGCAAGATGTTCTTTTCCCCATAATGCCATGCTGCAAGTAATCTTGGACTCTACTTTCTTTTTTGCTGCTTACTGGTACTCACTAAAGGCTAGTATATTTGATGCTGAGAGCTGAAGAAAAAATGGTAGGATATTGTGGCTTTGCAGTTTAAGACATTCCAACTGCCTTAAAGCAGTTGTTCCTAAACTCAACGTGCATCAAAAGCCCCTGAAAAAGTGTTAAAATATGAGATTGTTGACCTTACCTATTTCTGACATAGTAGGTCTGAGTTGGGACTGAAAATTTGCAATTGAAACAGAATCCAAGATGTTCCTGCTGCTCTGGAGACCATGCTTTTGGAATGACTACCTTTAAATCTCTGTAAACTGGGAAATAAACATTTTTATTTCCTTTATGGAAACCATCTATGCTTCACAGAAATGGAACTTGAGACCTATTATTAATAGTTCACTCAAACAAGCACATAAGCCTTTTATGAATACTCAGATATTTAACAAAGCCACGAACCCAAATACCACCCCACTTTCTCAGTCACTGGAAGCCTATGTAGGTCCATGACCATCGATAAATCACTATCCCTGGCATAAATCTTAGAAGAGGCCACTGGCCAGTCTCAGCCCCATCATCTTCAGCTTCCCAGCCCCCAGGGTCTTTGCTGGGACCA